GAAGAGCCAGCCCTGTCCGAAGACGTTTCCGTGGTCATGTGGCCGGCATGACTAAACACCAAGGCGCAGGGAACGCTGTTACCTTCCCACCAAAGTGGTACCTATTTATCTACTTGCAATTTCTTGCTTTTGAACTGCTAGGTTGGCAGGAGCTGGAACTAGAGACGGGAGCTCACTCTGTCTTGCGGCACCCGGGTCTCGAACGGCTGAACTACTGACCTTCCACAGCCTGCAGTTCAGCGTCTTAACCACTTGAGCCACCACAGCTCCCAGGGGTAGAAAAGAATAAAAGTCCAGTAGCACCTTAAAGACTGACAAAATTTGTGGCAGGGTATGAGCTTTCATGAGTCACTGCTCACTTCTTCAGATAGCAGTGGCTCATGAAAACTCATACCCTACCACAAATTTTGTCAGTCTTTAAGGTGCTACTGGACTCTTATTCTTTTCTACTGCTACAGACAAACATAGCTACCTATCTCAATCTATTCCCCAGTGGTATGAGTGGCAGAGCTGACTGTTGCAAGTACAAAGTTAAAAAGTTCATTATAGGCACTAATTGTGGGCTTAGTTCCATTCATATGACTCATAGCTGGGAAGCAGCCCACACAAAGGAAAATACGATTATCACTTTATATGAAATAAGTCCAGGTTACATAGCAATCACAGTTTGTTTGCAAAATAAAAATATACTAACTGTGCCAGCAGTGAAATGTCTATTAAGGTCAGTTTTGCAGTGATATTATACTAGAATGTTCACTAATATTACCTGATCCTGTATATCTTAAAACAAATCATGTATGTAACAAAGCAACAATAATTTTTACTCCAACAAAATGAGCTCTTGAAGTTATGTGGAACTGAAGAGAGTCTGGTATCAGATATTGTAAGGATGCAGAATTGAACCGTTGCGTTGAGAAAGAGCGTATCGAAACGAGCGGTAAAACTCCGGGGAAGTTCGTCCCGTTGTCTTGACGTCGTCTTTGAATATTGATGGCATCCCTTGTTGAAAAACAGAAAGATTAAAACAGCTTGAAGTTACCAACAAGAGTCTACTGATTCTAACAATTTTTGTTATTTGTATGCACTTGTTGCAGTAATTGTGTATATTGTATCCTAGTTATACTGCTGCCCCCCCCCCTCCTCTAGATCTTGGAAGCTAAGCAGGGTTAGTACTTAGATCAGGGACCACCAAGGAAGATTCTGCAGAAGAAAGTGATGGAAAACCACCTCTGCTTCTCACTTGCCTTGAAAGCCCCTTGCTGGGCCCACCATAAGGCAGCTGCTACTTGACAGCATTGATGTACGTCTACCCAGACTTGCTAACTTTATATAACATTTCTGTTCATGGCAAATTAACCTGAAGACAACTGATGTCAAACAGGACACACAGTTGCCTAAAGAAAGATCGGGGGCAGGATATGCCCACAGCTAGGGCCGTGGTGGCTCAGTGGTTAAGGCGCTTAGCTGCGGACCGGAAGGTCAATAGCTTTCGCAGTTCAAGACCCAAGTGTTGTATGATGGAGTGAGCTCCCGTCTCTGGTCCCAGCTCCTGCCAACCTAGCAGTTCAAAAGCAAGAAATTGCAAGTAGATAAATAGGTACCACTTCGGTGGGAAGGTAACATCAGCAGAAAGTATGTCAGCAAATTGTGACTTTCTCACTTCTCCTTCCTCATGGAGCCAAAAATGCCCCCCCCCCATTACTGCTTCTGGGGGACAGGGAAAGCCCGAGAACAGAATGAAGGGTGAATCAGAGGTCTGTAGGGGGGATTGGCAAAAATTGCCCGCCCCCTTCAGTCTGAACTAACCCTCTGTGGGATTCAGGCCTTGGTCCTCTGCCTCATATGCTGTTTCTTCAGATAACAGCTTATGTGTTGTTATGTCTAAACGATCTGACAGAACAGTAAAATCAAATATTCTATGGATAACATTTCGGAAATGTACTGTGTGCATACAAACAAAAGGAAAAAATAGATCTTTAAAGTTAAGAACTAGGATTTGAAAATTTTAAATTTCCTGGGCTAATTTTTATACTGATTACCTAAAAAATCTAACTTACTGAGGGAAGGCAAATTAAACTCCATAAAATTCCCTGATTGGCTGTACTCAACAAAGGAACAAGTTCTGTCTTTTCCTAATCGATACTGTTATGCAGTTTGCTCCATCAACTGCAGTGTCCTAATCCTTGCAAAGCTTGATTACAGAACAGCAGGGATATCATCCAGGGGGCTAATGCCTCCAAAAATTGAAATTCTATGAAATCCATCACACTGCTAAACCAGTCAAATCACTTTCCTTGTTTCTCTGACCCATCCACGCTCTTCCCATGAAAGCCCCTCATATCGGCACATTGGAACCCTCATGTTCAGAGGCAACATGCCTCTGAATACCTGATGATGGGCTATGGCCTTCATGCCATCTTTTGAATTCCCTTGAGGCATTTGGCTGACCAGTCTAGAAACAGAAGACTATACAAATGTAGATAAGTGACTTGCAAAAAACACCATAGCCTTTCATAGCAAACGTAAGATCAGAGTTCCAAATATTTCTACATCAATTTATTTCCCCAGAATATTCAAATCTTACCCAAATCCACCCCAGGCTATAGCAATTCTCTATCCACTCCCACTTCCTGTGCCTTAATGAGCTAGGATTCAAAGTGTAATCCTGAACAGAGCTACACCTTTCTTCCATGGATTTAGAAGGGTGTCACTCTCCTTAGAGTCACACTGTCAGAGAAAGGGGGCACAGCTGCTGTCCAATCAGCAGTCACCTGACAGTGCCGCAGCAGCTAGCCTTTTTTTTTCAGCATTCCTTTGTCCTCTTTCAGCAGCATCAGCTCTGAATCACTCTATTTTTTTAAAAAAAAAAATCAGTAATCCCAGTCATGTTAATTTTGAAGGGCTAATTTTCCAGAATGTCAAGTATCAGCATTCTGTGCATGTTTAAAGAAGATGCAACAGATGTAATCAAGAACCCTGCCTGACACAGGCACAAAAATACAGAATGACCTTAATGATTGCAGACTCTTGGCTTTGGTTAGTCAGGGCATAGATCATAATTTTATTGTCAGGGACTGCTTGTGTGCATGGGAAGAAGCAGATGACTCACAATTAGGTAGGAGGTGCATAAGAATTTACCACAGCAGCTTCGACTGTAACCACCAGTCGCAGGGTAGATTCAGCATTACCACAATCACCGCCACTAAAACGAAACAAAGAGCAGGCAGAATGAGCTTATTACCTGGCTGGAGATGACAGATGGCCTCCCCTCCTCCCCATGTGGTCACAGCTACTGCTAGGTGGTCTTTCGAGTGGTTATGATGTACTTCCTAGATATTTGTTTCTGCTACCTTTGGTTGTTGTTTTCCAAGCATAGCTCATTCAGGGCAGTGAGCAAAAATGGTTTGAATCTTGTTATCCGTAATGCATCAGATGCAAAGAAGAAAATAGTAGGCTTTGATTTTAAAATCTCCAGAAGCGTTGCATTGCATGTATATCGCACTGATGAAGTTGAGGTCATCCAGACATGAAGGACTTTGGTGTGGGATGCAGCTATTGCCTTAAGTAGTTTAAATGCTGTGCAGCTGGATCCTATCCTCACCTGGCGCTGTTTGTGGTACAACTAGAGACTTGCGGCCCAACAGTTACCACGGCATCCTGTGCAATGCACATGGTTAGAGGAATGTTTGAAAGGTTCGCTTTCATTGCTTATTCTGAGAAACACCCACATATCCAAAAGGCCTGATGCAAACTTCCTTTTGTGCCACTACTACAGATGATGATCTCAACAAGGGTTTAAATTTATTACCTATTTCTGGCTTGCTGTGCAGAAACACCATTTCCCTGTTTGCAGTATCATGCTGATGACTTCCACTCTGTAATTAAAACCAGTATGCAACATTTCTGAGAATTGCCATGAATAAGCAGGGACTCCTGGTTGGGATCCCACCCCCACCCCCCAGTTCATTCTCCACTCCATCTTTGGTCTGGTCTCCAACTCTTCCCCCGTGCAGGGACCTGAGATTAACTCTTGGAGGAGAGGGAACCCCCTCCCTGCACTCTTCTTTCCTGCCCCCCTCCCCACCTCTCTGGCCGCCCACTCATCTAGGATTGCCAATAGGGTTGCCAGATCCAGGTTGGGAAACTCCTGGAGATTTGGGGGGTGGAGCCTGGGGAGGCCAGGGACCTCAGTGGGGTACAATGCCAGAGTCCAACCTCCAAAGCATCCATTGCCTCCAGGGGATGAGCTATAATTCTCTGGATCCCCAAGTCCTGCCTGGAGGTTGGCACCCCTAGTTGCCAACATCAGACTGTGAAATTCCTGGAGATTTGGGATGGAGCCTAAGGAGAGTGAAGTTTGGGGAGGGCAGAAAGCTTAATTGGGATGCAACGCCATAGAGTTCATGCTCCAGCGGAACTG